GTTGTTGTTGTTGTTGTTGTTGTTGTTGTTGTTGTTGTTGTTGTTGTTGTTGTTGTTGTTGTTGTTGTTGTTGTTGTAGCAATTGTTTTTGTTTTTCTTGTGGTTGTTGGTATGGAGATAATGAGGACGGCAATTGATATTGATGTTGTTGCTGTTGGTACTGGGGTGTTGGTGGCTGTGGTTGTTGATATAGTGATGTTTGTAAGGATGAATGAAGTTGTGGTAATGGCTGATATATTTGATGATGGTGATTACTTCTACCGCTGCCACCAGTACTGGGATTACTAGAATTACTATTATTATTATTACTATTATTATTATTATTTTGATTCAAATAATTTTGTGAATATTGTGACAATTTATTATGATGAATAGTGGTTGCTTGATCAGTTAATGAAAATGGTTCTTGAACTAATTGTTGTAAAGCAAATTGATCAAATTGTTGTTGTTGAATGTAATTGTGCTGCTGTTGCTGTTGTTGTTGCTGTTGAGAGGATTGAGGAAGCTGTTCAGAAGAGATAATTTGGTTTATTTGAGGAAGTTGTTGATAAATAACTGGTTGAAGTTGGCTGGCTAATAAATTTTGTTGTGAAGAATTGGAAGAAATGGAAGAAGGAATAGCTTGTGAATTATTATTATTATAAGGAATAGCATAGTTTTCATAAATTGATGACGAAATTGGCATATACTCTATCTGAGTTTGTTGTAGATGTTGCGGATATTGATCATGATATTGCTGAGTGTATTGTGTAGTTTGTGTAGTTTGCTGTGATTGTGAGGCTGGTTGTGATGCTGGTTGTGATTGATAACTCCATTGCTGTTCTTCTTCTTGTTGTTGTTGCTGTTGTTGTTGTTGTTGTTGTTGTTGTTGTTGTTGTTGTTGTTGTTGATTTGGTGTCAACCATTGTTGTTGTGGATATTGTGTAGGATAATTATTGTGTTGAGACATTTTTTCATTCCTAAAAAAATTATGCAAAATAACTTGGGCTTTTATGCTTTGTTGAACATTACACAAATTGTGTAAATTCTGGTAGGAGATTTCTTTGGAAACAAAACAATCAGCATGAAGAAAAACTTCTCTCTTTTTTTAACAACAACAACAAAAATAATAATAATAATAATAGCGTATTATGCGGAATATTGTAATACTACAAGGTTTACTGAAAAGGTTTTATTAAAAGAAATAAAAGCTTTAACATTACATAGGGATCAATACACAACAGGACGCAGAGTTTCACCAATTAAACAAATTGAATGTGTTAATGGTGATGCTTGTCATGTCTATAGACCTGGTAAATGAATCAATATAATAAGATGAATTAATTGGGTGTTGATAAATATTTTTTTGTATAATTTTTTTCTTGTTAATTATAGATGTTATTCAATGCATTAATGTTGGTTCAGATGGCACAGGTTATTTTTATTCTTATTATCTATCTATTATTCTATTGGCTTGATCGATATTGTTGTGTCTATGTCTTAAATTTTATCTTCTTTAATAATAAAGATGTAAATTGGAGATGTGAAGCTGAACTTCCCAATTATATAAAATTTGGATCTGTATGTAACAATTTGATCAATTGGTTGATTAATTGAGATTCTACATAGATTTTAATTTGCAGTGAAGCATTACTAATATTTTAAAAAAATACTTGGTTTATGATATAATTTAGCTGTCAGTAATATGTGAAGGTAACAAAAAAAATTGATTTTGATTCTGATTTATTCAAAATCTTATTTAATCTTAATCTGATTGTTATTATTACAGGTTATGATTATCCTGATGATTCATATGTTTTAAAAGGTTTTCTTTTAAAACCCAAAATTACAAATATGAGAATACTAATTAATTAATTAATTTACTTACATTTATTTATTTATTAATTGGTTATCTAGGATCATGTGGATTAAAGTATTCATTTTATTATAAAGATTATTCAAATTATCCTGATCATAAAATAAATTCTGATGATGACAAATTTTTTGAAGAATTTTTTGAATATCAGAATCGTAAGTTTTTGTCTCTTCTTTCATTTTTGATTCTTGATTTTTATAAGAAAATTATTGTTTGGTTATTGATATTTGTTCTAATATTTTTTAGGGTCAAAACTGTTTTCATTGCTTTTCAAAATTTTATGGTTTGCCTTGGTTATATTTATTCTATATAATTTAATTAGTAAATGTTTGACAGGGTAAGATTGAAAATTATTATTATTGTTATTGGTTATATAATTCATTTCTATTTTAGTAAGAATTTATTATGTTATTTAATTTCTAATTTTGATCAAGAAATAATAATAATAATCGTCAGCAAAGGTTTGGTGGAGGAGGCAATGGTCATGACAATGATGATGATAATTATTTTCCTAGACATGGTACCTTTTAAAAGTTTAATTGTTCATTGATTTATTGATTGTTTGTTTATGAATAAATATTTTTAATTTTCAGATTATCAACATCAGTCATCATTTCAAAATAATTTTAGAAATAACTTTCAACCTGGTTTTTGGCAAGGACTTGGTTTGGGAGGTTTAGGAGGTTATTTTATGGGTAGAAGAAATGCTGGACAACAACATATAAGGAATAGGTATATTGGATATATACATCCATTGTGCATATTTTTAATTGATATTTATAATGTATATTATATATTAGGCAATATGTGGTAGAAGAGCCTATTAGACAACAGCGACAAAATTATAATTACGCATCTTCTTCTTCAAGTAGTTCATCATCTTCAAGTATGACACCATCAGTTGGTTTTGCTGGGACAAAAAGGTAATAATAAGATGTCTCTATATTTATATTTATATGTATAATGAATATGATCTTTGATATATGTATATTTAATTTGCATGATACTTTATTTAAATTTATCCAGGCGATAATGTGTTTTAGATGAATAAATAAATAAAAATGGTTTCTTTCATAATTTTATATTTGAGAATTTATTTTTAATTAGGCCTCTCAAATTTGAAGGTTCTAAAGAGATTATCTACAATATTGCAAGACTTTTTGATTAGTGTCAGTCTAATCCTACTGTTGACTATTTATTTGAGGTGTGGATCAGAAATATTATTTTGTAATTCTGGTGAAATATGGGAAGTGTATTTTATCTATCGGAGAATATAATATCTAAACTCTTGGTTCTCAAAAACAAATTTGAGCTAAAAAATTTTTGCATTTATATACATTATATTGATTTCTACTGAATAAATTCTTGTATTAATGGTCATACCTACCTAAAGTTGTAAAAAGCACCAGTAATTTCAAATGCTTTTTTTCTGCTTGCAACACCACGTTTTGTGGTGCATACTTTGCTGATTGAATCGGCATTGTTCAAACCAAAAATATTTTCACATTGGGGCATACCAGACAAAGTGAACATTGGTATTACCAAGAATTTCAGGGATCTAATGTTGATATTTAGTTGCCATTGTACTGATATTCATATTATTTTCTTTCCTTTCAAATTATTCAATAATTCCAAAAATATAAATTCAATAAAACCAGTTTCATACATATTATAAATTCTCTCAGACGGGTAACTCTCGCATTTATTTTTTAATAATACAAATCAACAATAATCATACCTAGATCAACTGATAATGCTTCATGGGGTGGCATTTATGGAAGGAATATTCACATTAGTGGATTGAAAAAATACTGTGCAGTGCAGAATATAGAAGATAAGCATGCGCATTTATCTCTAGATCCCAAGGTTGGGTCTGAGACATAGTGTGCATTCATGGAAATCTGTGACTGTAATTATTATTTTATTCATTTTTATAAATCAAATATTTCTCTCACATGATTAAGCAGAACAAACTATAATAATATTAATATACAATATTTCTAACTATCAATTTCTTATCTGACTTAAACTATTTCCAAATGTTCATTCTCTTTATTTGTATCATCATCATCATTTGACAGTATGAATGGAATTGGTGGTGACAGTTGATCTAATAGCAAAGTGAAATAGAAAAATTCATGGTTAACAGAAAAATTACCCTTCAGTCTTATTC